ACGTTACTATACTGTTATGTGTGACACAAAAATATAGAACGCTACTATACTGTTATGTGTGACACAAAAATATAGAACGTTACTATACTGTTATGTGTGACACAAAAATATAGAACGCTACTATACTGTTATGTGCGACACAAAAATATAGAACGCTAATATACTGTTATGTGCGACACAGAAATATAGAACGCTACTATACTGTTATGTGCGACACAAAAATATAGAACGCTACTATACTGTTATGTGCGACACAAAAATATAGAACGCTACTATACTGTTATGTGCGACACACAATAAAGTGGTGCATATGATAAATAGGAATGTTACTGAACTTTAATTGGGTGTGACACACACACACACACAAAGTCAGTATTTAAATAGTATTTCATTAATACATTGTACTTAACAATAAAAACGCTATACACACTATACAAATTAAAAAAAATTGGTCTAGTAATTCTTAATATATACATACTTTTAGGGTTAACTAAAGTTATGTTCAGGTGACTTGAATGAACTTAATTACAAGCTGTTTATTGGTAAAGATGAATCAGAGAAAGAGATCATCTTTTAATATTAAAGCTAATATATATATATATAAACTGAATGTTTAAACAAGTTCTTTTTCTTCTGCCGTTTTTAGGTTTAATTCAATACCGCTCACTTTTATTTACATAAAGCTTTCATGTTTTTATTTTTGGCTTTTGCCTCAGGGGCCTAAAAGCGCTTATGGAAGACATCAGTTAAGCCCCTGAGGCAACATTATTCATTTAGTATGGTATAACCCCCCCCCCCCGTCCATCCCTTTTTTAAAGAAATACTGATTGCATTATTATAACAAACGAAAAATATACAAACACAACACATACTACTAAACACGTTAAAAAAGTCGTTTATATTCACCGACTAACATAACACCACTGCGCCGGTGTCTTACTCAAATCGTGCACATTGTGTGTGTGTGTGTACTGCACTTAGCAACCAATCGGTTTATGTGTGCCTCACAAAAAACTGCTTTTACTGATGCAATATTTAAACGTCTGTCCGTTATTGAATGGCTATTTTTTTTACTCCTGATGGTAACGGAAGCTAAAGGTTTTTACTCCTGATGGTGGCGGAAGCTACAGGTTTTTACTCCTGATGGTGGCGGAAGCTATAGGTTTTTACTCCTGATGGTAGCGGAAGTTACAGGTATTTACTCCTGATGGTAACGGAAGCTATAGGTTTTTACTCCTGATGGTAACGGAAGCTACAGGTTTTTACTCCTGGTGGTAGCGGAAGCTATAGGTTTTTACTCCTAATTTTAGCGGAAGCTACAGGTTTTTACTCCTGATGGTAACGGAAGCTACATGTATTTACTCCTGATGGTAACGGAAGCTATAGGTTTTTACTCCTGATGGTAACGGTAGCTACAGGTTTTTACTACTGATGGTAGCGGAAGCTACAGG